ATACGGTGACCAAATAATGACAAATGCTCAGAAGACCAGCAAACCCGTTTTAAAACCTCAAGTGGAGGAATCTTCAGGCATTTACCTAATGGCTGAAAAACGCTGGTGCAAGATATGCCCTCATCTGCAAAACATAAAAACATGGCAGCATCCACCTTAATTACAAAATTATGTTGCCAGAAGATATTAAAATGCATGAATGGCTGCATCGCAAAGTTTCATTCAAACTTACTATTTTATCATAAATTTCCAACATTTCTAGAATGATATATAAATGATATTTCTGTCAAAATATCTAGAGGTACATATAGTAAAACCTTGTGAAAAAAATTAAACAATATGAATAATACCATAATGCTAACTTGGGCATTCAAGCAAATAAAACCTATGCTTTACATAAGGCATAAGCTTGTTCTGTTGAATAGTAGCAGCAACAGCAGCTATGGTCAATTGGTCAGGGCCAAACTGATGCAATTGTACTGAAACAGAGATTAGACAACATAATACTTCAATAATTAGGTAGAATTCAGAAATATATAAGGAATGAGTAAGAAAACCTGAAAATGACCATGGTCAGTAAGGATCAGACATGGGCAAGTAAATCATTGCCATGTGCCATCCTACTTTACTTTCCCAAGTTGCATGCTGGAGCGCCTAGAATGATACCCAAACATGAAATAAAGAAGAGCTGGAAAGAATATAAGCATATCAGAGCACAAAATTTTCTGCATTGGCACTACAATAGAACAACAATAAAATTAAAATTAAGAAAAAGAGTTAAAATATAAAGTTATATAAAAAAGTATGTACCCGAGATAGGACTCATAACCATGGGAATTGAAGAGAGAAAAAGAATCAGGGTCAAAAGATTTGAGGAAATGGGCATGAATGTAACTCTGGTAGGTGGTGAGGGGGAGGATAATCCAGGCCCCAGTAGCTGGGATCATTGACCCTGCTGTTGCGGTAACAGTCATTGGCAGGAAGGTTGAGGGCGAAATCAGAAGAAAGAGAAATTATGGGTCAAAGCGAAAGCGAATGTTTACTTCTACAAATAAAGCATAGCGAGCGAGAGGTAAAAGTCACTGTCTTTGCACAGAGGGTCAGTTTGACCTTTGACATCCGGGATTCTGTGCCATTATATATGGAACAATTTTAGAATCGAAACCGTAGAAGAAATGCCAAGGTATACAGATTCTTTTACGAATCAATTTATAAAGTAAAACAGGAACGAAATTAACAACCAAATCCTGAAATCTCTGAATCTATTCTCAAAAACAGAACTTGGAGAGGAGAAGATGTGTCATTGGTGCTCTAGAGGAAATTAGATTGAAGAATGCATATTTTGAGATGCAAAGAAGCCGAAGATATTGAAGTTGGTGGTTGGAGGAAAGAATTCGTGACATTTTAGAGGTAGCTGAGTGGGCTGCCGGCCCGATGGCGATGGTGTGAAGAGAAGGAGAGAAGCCTAAAAGAATTAGTTTTTTTTGGGATTGAATAGGTTAGTATTTGGGCTGGGCTTGCTTACTATTGATTTTATTCATTTTTGCTCAACGCTTGCTTATTACTTATGATAAAGCTAAAAGTTAAAAATTTACCTTT